AGCCAAAGCTTACATCTGCTTGGAGATTCTGACAGTTCCCCAATGGTAGATCATGAGAATGCTCAGCCAAACTTGAGCCATGTCTACAAAAGTACAATGTTGTGTACTGTTATAGAGTCATTGGTAGGTGAATGTCACACCAACCAAAAACCTCACTAGTTTTGCTTATCCACCATTTCACTCCAGCATGATGCTAGCACCAAGTCCTAGAACTGTACATATATGGAGTGCCATTATCTTGTTGGTGTGATGTTTTATCTTTAATCAATTTACTTCAGTATTTATGCCTGATCATTTACCAGGCCCAACCTATATGCAACTTTGTCCACTTTCCTGCTGTATTGGTGTGTTGTGGGGTCTGTGCCTATCAATAGTTGCAATAGAAAGATGTTTGAGCGAGATAAGCCTGCACAGGGATGTTTCCTGATAGTGGTTGAAATGAAACCATGGCCTTGTTGTTTCCTTTTAACCTCCTTGCAGATGTTGGTGTGGAAAATAATAAATCATTTTCTAAAAGGCTAGCTATTATTCTGACAGCATTCTAACCCAGGAAAGATCTGCCAGAAAAGCTGGTCTGTTGGAAAATGTCACAATTTTCTACCCCAAAATCTGCTTTGAGATTAATTTTCTTTGCCATAAGGCCACACCAATTTAATATCTTGGTTAACGGATTCGCCCGCTTCATTTTTTTCTGATTTGCAAATATAAATAAAAATTCAGAATCAATTGCAAAATGCTCATATTTTGCCCTGAACAGTTGAAAGCAGTCCTTTTTGCCCTAGTTGTTAGTTATTCCATCTTTTAATGCAGTGGTATCATTAAAAGTTCAAAATTCATTCTTTTAATTTTGAACCAGCCTGGTATGTTGACTTCAATTTGGCTCCTATCGTACCATTTTGGGCCATAATAGGATGCCTATGCCTGTTTTTATTTTAATTTTTTTTTCGCCCGCCCGCTCCATTATTTTTCTTCAAAAATCCGTTAACCAAGAAATCAAATTGGTGTGGCCTAAGTGAAGCATCAGGTTTGTAGGGGCTAAGATTAGGAGGTGGTGTGAAGTGCTTGTACAAATGCAAAAAAAAAAATAATAATAATAATAAAATAAAAATAAAATGTGATTCTTTTTTTACCTCTGATGCATAACCAGTGTTATGAAGTTACCTAAGGGTTGACGTAAAAGTAGAGGGTGGAGTTTGTATGACATAAAACAGTGCTCTGGAATTAATGGAGTTGAGTTGAGGACTTGAGATTGTTGAAGAAGAGAGCAGAGTTGGTTTATTTGTTACTACATTTTAGCAGGTTTGCATCTACAAATGTCGAGCCATGTTGAAACTTAAAGCATCAATATGCTTACTGATAGAACATTTCCCATTAAACCTTTGTGCAACAGTTAAAGATAGCCAAGAATAAACGTTGCAAGATGTATTTTCTTCCTATGGTGTTGCAAATTTAATGTTCTGTCAAGAACATGTGAGTAGTAATTGTAGAGGATATGGAGAAAATGGGGTAACGTAATAACAGTCCCTCTATATAAATGCCAAGCTATAGCTCAGGTATTCGCCAACAATGTCAAACAACTGGCCAGCCTACACATTATACCAGAGTCATGTCATGCACTACATTGTGTGTTCAACTGTGACGTTCTATCTGTAAGCCTTGAAATAAAGAATGCTGGCCAACACACATATGGTTTGTGGTCTGTTATTATCCCTAACTGCTACACAAGTAATACAGCATTCTTTATCTGGTGGCATGGCTCGGGTAGTCTTAGAGGTTAGGGTTGTTAGACTAAGATGTTTGAGGTTTAAATCCCTAACAGGTCCCAATGTAGTGACCTTAAACTTGGGAAAGGCACTTGATGTAAATTTCCTCACTCGACTCAGGTCAAAATGAGTTGGGGACATCCTCTCTCCGCAGGGGTCCAGTGTTTGAAGAAAATATTGCCAGGGAAATAGAAACAAATTTTACAGAAAAGTCCAGCAAAGATAGAGACCACTAGAAAAATGTAAAAAAATTCCTCAACATTATGCATAAAATAATGACCCTACATCTGCTTTGAGACGAAGCTTCATTACTGCAGTACTGCTTATATTTCCATGGGGGCTCTTCTGTAAATATGATGAAATGTGCAAGACAGCTGTGATGTGACATATGATATCCCGTATAGTATACACTTCAAACAATACGTTGATTTTATAACTATTCAATATAAAATTACAATGATAGGGTGGTGTAAAATACTAGTACTTGGAATTTGAAATTAAATCAGGAGAAACTTGGCTTCTATCAGGCTTTGGAAGGCGTCTGGAAAGAGTAGAAATTGGTAAAATAGACAAATAAACATGCCAGTGGAGTTAAACGTTGGTCCGCCAAAGGGGACAGTTTGTCACTCTTTCGTGGACCAACGTCCTTGACAACCTCTAACATGGCCCATTTCAGAGGCTCTCTCCGAGCCTGGTAGAGGCTAGGAGAAAGTGAAGCCTCTCTGAACTTTTTCTGAGGTCCTTTGTGTGATAGGGTCTTTTTCACCATCAAACCGCTCAACCAAAAGTCTCGGGTCCTTCGGACGACCAGCCAAAGTTGTACACGTCTCCTAAAGAAAGCCAACATAAAGGAAAAAAAAAAGAAAAACCAAAACAGTCATAACACACGCTTTGACTTAAATGTCAAGTTTTCAACATACATTATAAATAATACTAATAGTAGTACTTCAAACATAACCAGCGACATGGGCAATGATGACGTTTGGCATTTTGAACGAGGCACTGATCAAAAACAGTTTTTAATACATTAGTTCTCTCTTCCAGGTGTATATTAAGTGACTTAAGTGGCCGGTCATGTTGAGATCGATATCCTATAGACTGCTCTTCCACTCGTTAAATATTTGTGCGTTCTTCGTCGAATTCTTGCAATTCAGCTGGAAGTTCATTCTCAGTAGTAGTACTAGCACGTGTTAATTATTCCAAGCAAATGTTTAAGTCCAGTCCAATAGTCTACGCTTGTTTTTCCTGACGTTTTGCACGGCTTTCTAGCGACTTGTGTCTTTGATAGCTCTTCGTCTCCCAAAAGACATAAAAACGCTGACCATTAGAAAGATGTACAAGATCTTGCCAGGACAAAAACACAGAGCCGCACCTTACGTCTGCTTGGAGATCAATGAAAGTCCGATATAAATACGACGGTCCGCTCCTGCCCCATAAACTAATTTCCAAGCAGACGCTGTGAGTGGAAACCGTCATGTTTTCTACCACCGTGTGTCTGAAAAGCAGGGTAGCCAGATCTGAGACGCAATTGGCCTTACCCCAACTCTCACCCCGGCTTACTCTCCAAGCAGAGGTAGGGTCGCTCGGTATTTTGGCAGTACTTCCCCTTAAGGGGAGGAAGACCAAAAAAAAAAACCGTAAAAGTAGAAAGACGTATTAAAAACGCGAAAATACTGCCAAAATACCGAGCGACCCTACCTCTGCTTGGAGAGTAACCCCGGCTGGGGTCGGGTCATGGTAGAGCACGCATGCACGCAGGTGACATTCCGTCTACGTCTGGCATTCCCTTCGGCCTTCCCTAGCTCAATGAGGGGCTGTCCAGTGTCTTGGGGTGCAGACACAAGGCGATGTGATCACATTGGCAAACTTGCCAACATACCAACTTCGATCCATTCATGCACGATTCTCAATGACCAATACCGGGCAGTTTTAACAAAAATAACCGTTTACGTTACATTGCGTCCCACCTGCATTTGTCGATATTCGTACCAAAAGCGATGCTACGGGGAAAATTTGTGCATCGTCCTGGCGTACTTTCAGCTTGGAAGCCAATGCAATGTAGGAAATCTCTGCATATTTTAATGTCCTGAATGAATGAGCTGATTGAAGCGTTAGTTGTTTGGGGGCAATCCAGGCTGTCAGTAATTCATTGATAGGCGGCGCTGCGGAGCATTTCCCTGTTTGTTTCATGCAGCGCCCACCAATCAACATCGGCGCCCGGCACAGCCTGCTTTGTGATGGAAACTGATGAAAACGTAGTACGTGATCTGCGATCTGCAGCTCGGGTCGGTCGTGGGGCTTACTACAAGAGCTGTTTCGCCGAAGTCCTGGAAATGTAGGTGAGACAGAGCGATTGCAAGATCTCCCAGGGTCTGGCGCCCGGTTTGGGTCACAAATAGCTGGCGTTGCTGTAGTATTTGCGGGGTTTTGCTGGTTACGAGTGTTACGCTGCATGCGATCGATTGTAGCTGCCATGATCGCCTTTACTCCAGCTCGCTTCTGTCTGCGAGCAGCGCTTCCTGGATCCCCTAGATCACCCTGGTGTCTCCTGTGCAATTAACAGAAAAACACCACGATCTACATACTGCTGGGTAGATTCAATATGCATGCAGAGACGTCAATTTTCCTTGCATTACATGCTAGTATTCCGGTCACTCGCAGGGTTTTGCTGGCGGAAGGGGGGGGGGGGGTGCTCAAGTTTCAATTGCAAACCCCATGCATAGATGTCTGGTTTATAAATGGAAGGTCGTGGCAGACAGTTCATACGATGCAAATCGTCCAGGAGGCGTTTATTATGCATACAGAGACGTCAGGTCTACGAAGTAAGCATGCATACCCATGCAATATTATTCCGACCCACAAGTATGTATCAAAATCTGTCATCTTTGGATCATCAGAGCCAGCTGGTCGATATGTTAAATAACAGTTAATATTAAACAACATGTTAACTACTAGCGTGAGGTCAGCAATGGTTTGCTGGCTGACAGATTGTCAGTGGTCTGCAGAGAGCTTGCACCACACACACATTAGTCAACACATTCTCCATGAATGAGGTCAGGTGTGGCAATTGTAGAAAAACAACCCAGATTGTTGATACAGGTGAAGTTGAATAATGCTTGATCAAGTTGATGCCATCATTACTTGCATGATCAATGTATGTGTTTGTGTACGTGTATGTGTATGGCTGTGTGTGTGTTTATGTCACAGTGTGCATGTATATACTATGTGTGTGTGTGTGTGTGTATGTGTGTGTGTGTGTGTGTGTGTGTGTGTGTGTGTCACTGTGTGTGTGTGTGAGTGAGTGTGAGTGTGTGTCTGTACGTGTGTGTGTGTGAATGCGTGTGTGTGTGCGTGTGCGTGTGTGTGTGTGTGTGTGTGTGCATTTTTTGTGTCACCCCTCTCCCTCCCAGAGGTCCCTTTGAAGTCTTCCATACATCATGCCCAGACCTGAATTCCTAGTGCATTCAATACACAAGCATGTATGATAAAGAAGCACTTAAATTTTTGTGTAAGTCAAAGAGTTTGTGGTTAAAAAAGTCATAGTAACACAATGGAAGACAGAGCATATTATTAGGTTCATGGTATATGATCTGTTTGTGGCGAGAGGTCACAGCAATTTTGGTGTTTGTTACATACACATCTCAGCCAAATGACAAATGCATTGAAATCCTTAGATTGCTTAATGAAATACTTTTTGTTTGGAACATTTAGAGCTGAATCAGATATGTATTTGCATAAATGACAGTACATCTTAATCGTTAATGAGTTCATATGAGATAGCATACCAGGTTACAGACTGCTGACCTTTTGAGGTTTTAACTTGTGCAGGCTAAGGGGCCTCTTGAACCTTCCCTATTTGGGGGTTGCTAGCAGCAATCATTTTTATTTGGCCAGTTTATGGTCAAATTTCTCATCTGAGAATGTAATTAGTTTATGGACCAGACACAAATTATGTGAAAGGGATAAATGTATTGTATACATTCTGCTATCACCTTACAATCATCAAGTTTCCCCCTTGCTATGTTTGTAAACATATTGTGCTATAATTGTTTTATATCATGTTATAAAATAATTGGTCCTTAATGTGTCCTGGAAAAATGTAATTGCTGTTGTGCTCATGAAATATGATTTGAATGATTTGTCTAGTCATGTAGTCATCTGTATGCAGTGAACATAAACCCCTGCTGTTGAGATGAGTCAACATTGGACATCATTATAATATTTGGTTTATAGGTTATAAAAACAACTGGAAAATTGAGGTAAAAATCGTAACATACAGCAAATGAATATTTGCCATATATTAGATGTGTTCAGTGTCTACTGAAGCTATATTATAACTCAATCCCTGACTCGTATGAAACCATGTTATTTAAGATTTCCTGAAATGGCTGCAGACTAGAAGTTCAACTGCAGTTATAACTTATGATAGTGAGCATTATGCCAGTGCATTTGGTAGTGTGCATCAAATTATAAATTCTCCCAGTCTGATGACACAAGGCAGCTTTTACAGGGACTTAAAGATGACAAATCTGTAATATTAGCACATGCTAGGCAGTGCTGCACCTTACGACACTTCCAGACAAAATTCTTGCTACATCTTTCTATTGTAAAATAGATTAGAATTGTCAGGCATAAAGTGCATGTTTACATCACGGCTCAGGTCAGGTTTTTGCTTGAGACTGAGAGGTAATCTTTGCTACCAACCAAAGTTCAATGTTCCATGGTAAATAAACACAATTTTAGAAAAGGGCACAGATCATGTTGCTGTATTGTCTGCTACACTTTAGCGGTATCCTGTGTAGTGTCTACAGGTTTGAAAGGATAGGCCACAAACCTATACAGCATGACCTCTGACCTATACTTTTTCCTGGCCCTTATCCTGCCATCTATTACTCAGGCAGGCCTTCCCACCCATAAATACTAGTAAGCTCAGTTGACTGTCAGCTGGTCCATAGGTACAAATATAGCCTTACATGCTGTCCAAGGTATGGGTTGCCCCGTTGGTCTGGGCCATTCACTTAGTGGTTCATGAAGTTGTCAACAAAATGGTTTGCAGTGCTCAGGACAAAAACATTTCCTTGAAAAGGGTGTGTATTTATGAACGTAAAATCATTGCACCTGTGTGTATATTTACTTAATTTAGGCAATAGAATGAAAACTAGACTTAAGTGGTATTGAGGGAATTGGGACATGAAAAAAGTGCTCAACACTGAGGTTGACCCAAAGGTCAAGTTCTGACAACATTGGGGTTTATTTTTGACACTGTGGAATGAGTATTGAGGGACAAATGTTAAAGTAGGAAACATACAACCATATGTGCTAGTGTGGAGGATCACCTCAAAATAATGGCTGAGGAGATCATGTATTGTTTGTTTATGGAGATTCTCCATTTAAGTAACCTGGCTTTGCAACAAGTTGATAGTAGATGAATATGTTTCTTTTTGTTTTCAGAAACTGGCGAAAGGAGTGATTATTGAGGTCCGTACAACTAAAGTGCAATGCTACAGCAATGAAAGGGAGTGGAGACAAAAGGAGGGTAGATCGGAGATCAGCTGGCAGCCGAGCATCAGAAACTGCTGTACAGAGTAGAACTCTGGGATCTGACGACAGTGATGACAACAGTAACACAGACGTGTTGGTGGGAAGACACAGGAAGTCAGGCCGGGTAGGACGAGCCCAGCAGGCTCACAACTCCAGAAACACCGAGCAGTCAGCAAGAGGAAAACCGGTTAGTGTTACCTTTTTTGACAATTCTAGGAAAACCCCATGTGGTTGTAAACTTTTGTATGTGCCACAAAAATGTTATGATACAGGCAGTGATAATTTTTGTGTGTCAAACTATGTTAAAACATTGCTAACTATAATGTCTTTCTCTTCTTCATGCCCTTGTCCTCCAGTCTCGTGTTCTCCACCCAGACCCTGTTGCAGCAGTGGTGGAGGCTTGTGCAGAGGCACACGCTACCTCTGACACCCTGTCCGACGATGAATTCAAGCGTTACGATGCCGGTTTTGAGTCTGACGACGTTTTTGAAAATGAGGGCATGTTAGGAACCTCCCAAAAGGAGGAACCAACGCTATCCATGTCTTCACTAGGCTCCACGGGGCAGAAGAGTCCCTCCAGGAAAAGAGACAGTCACATGCGGCCAGCGATGATCCGTCCTGATGGAAAGCGGAGCTCTTCCGTCTCTCCGAGCAGCCCACAACTGAAATACAAGAAGGGTGACGTAGTGTCTACTCCGAATGGTATCCGCAAAAAATTCAACGGCAAGCAGTGGCGTAGACTGTGTTCCAAGGACGGCTGCACCAAGGAGTCACAGCGGCGGGGATACTGCTCTCGACACCTGTCCCTGCGTGGGAAGGGTTTACAGTCCAAGGGAAGTTTGGGAGGTGCAGAGAAGGGAATGTTGCCGCCTGCTGAGGCACGGTTACAGGTTGATACTGAAGACTCGCTCCAGTCTGGTCGTGATCGCTATGCTGCACTGGACAGAAAGCATTCGGACATGGACGAGACTGAGGCAGCAAACATGCTCGTCTCTCTCAGCAATTCCCGTTCGGCCACCCCCTGTTTCTCCCCCCACCCCGGGACACCGCTGCCAATCTCTCCCGGCTCCCACTCCTTGTCCCCCATGATGGGTTTCCATCCGGTCAACTTTTCCCCAGTGAACGTGCAGCCAGCACCTCTGGGTCAGCCTGAGCTGGTGTCACCCACCTTCAAGCAGTGGGGTCCCAGCTTTGCCAGAAGCACGTCAAAGTCAGTCCCGCCTGTGCTAGAAACAACCACCCCACATTTAAAAAGCAGTCCTCCTCAGAGACGTCAAGATGTAGGTGTGATGGTGTCGCCCAGTAAAGTGAAGGCTGATGCCATCATTAGCCCTCCTGCCCGTTATCAAGACATGACAGTTACACAGAAGACTACCTTGCCCGAAACCATCTCAGATCACAGAAACAGCTCAACGTTGAACTCGCCCAGTGTTCCAGGGAGGGACTCAGGCATGGTGTTCAGACATATCCCATTTGAGCACCACCAGCCTGTAGTGAGACCTCCCCACAAAGAAACAGTGCAATCAGTTATTCCTACACACCACAGAAGACACCACCGATCGGCTGAGGAACTTGGTCGGAACCCCCGCCAAACCTCCTCAGACCATATCCAACAGACTGAACGCCAGGCACCTGTGAAAGTTAATATTACAGTAGCTCCAGAGAATCCGAGTAGAAGCTGCCCACCTAGGGTAACTGCCCCGAGCCTTCCTGCCTTGAGCAGTAAGAACTATTCGGCTTGTCCAAATCAGCCCTTGTCCACCCAGTCCACTCAGACGACACAAACACAGTCCAGACAAGAACCCACGACTCACCCACCCCCGCTAGCACTCCTTCTGCCCGTCATGAACCCGTCTCAGCCTACCCCAGCAGAAACAAGACCACAGAAAAGTGCATCACCTCCAGTTCTCAAGCTCAGTCAAGGTCAGTGGGGAGGGGGGCAGTGATCTGTAGTGATCTTATTCTAACACTTGTTTGCTGTTCATATCGCTTCCCTGATGAAGAAAGAGCCTGGCACCAGTCCCCATTCAAATCTTGACCTGTACATTATCAAGTAGTGCGGGTTTAGAATTACCTTGTAACTAAGTTGTGACAAAACTTCTCACCAAATCCAGAGCCAACCACCATACTGTTAGAAACTGATAGTCTTGTGTAACTTAAAGAAATATCGCTCTTCACTACAGCTGCCCAGATACTAGTAGCATAACAGTAGTTGTACAATTATGTAACACCCTATACTCCCATTTTCAGTGTATAGTAAAGCTGAGCCAGTGGCTGTACTAGTGTATCCTTGGCACTGCCTACTGCCAATACTTCAACCTTGGAACTCATCAAGAGAAGAGCAGCCACCAGCAGCATTTACAACAACACAACCTGCACCTGACCAAGAAGAGAAAACAACAGGTGAATCATGCTTCTAGTTCTAGCAACACTCCTACTGGTAAGGCCTCTAGAAACCTGATGGCCAACACCTCTAACTCAGAAGACTTTTAATGATAAATAAAAAGTTCATGTTGTCGTTATGTTATTAAAGTTGTTCCCCTGATGCAAACCATTGTATGATGTATATATATCCAAGTCTTAGTCAGTGAAACATGTTGCTGACATATGAATAACTTTGCAGATGAAGACAACAGTGAACTGTCAATGTGTCACCCCCGAAGGAGAATGTCTGTAGGGGCAGGAAGTGACCTAGAGCTTGATGTTGGGATCATCACAGAAAGGTGAAGGCAAAAATCAGATTTGTTTTGTTGTCAAGTATTCGTCCTCAGGGCTAGCACTTTGTAATAGCCATTTGCTAGTTATGCAGACCCAGCTTTGCATGTATGTTATTCACTGATGAAGTGTTAAATGCATGAAGATATAAAGATCAGCCTTATATTTTCATCAACTGTGTCATGATGTTTGCCCAGAGTGCTTGTTACCTGTTTCAACAACTTTATACAGAGAATATAAGTTTAATACAATTATGACAGATACAGTTATTCACTTTGATTGTTGATGTTATCCTGTTCAGAAAGCCACCATCTGCAAAACGACGAACACAGTCCTTGAGTGCTCTGCCCAAAGACTCAGACTGTAAGGAAGGAAGGGGATCAAGAAAGGTAGTTACATACACTAGACTTGCTGGATTTGCTATAACGTTACTTCAATGTGTTGAAATATTCGTAGTCTGCATGGCAGTGTCTGTAAATGTGTGCTTTGTAAGATACACCTACATGTAGTTTGAGATGCATATTGATACAATAAGTAATATTTATGCCATATAAACTGGCAAAAGCAATCAGTGATAAAATGGGTCATTTACCAAAAATGGAAGCGTTACAAGATAACTTTGTACTGTTGAAAACTGATCCAGTCATTTTCCTGTCATATTACCTGTAGAAGGACAAAGACCACATCCGTCGGCCAATGAATGCCTTCATGATCTTCAGCAAGCGCCATCGGGCACTTGTGCACCAGCGCCATCCCAACCAGGATAACCGCACAGTCAGCAAGATTCTGGGAGAGTGGTGGTATGCGCTCGGACCTCGAGAGAAACAGAAATACCATGACCTTGCCTTTCAGGTGTGTAGAATTGACAATTAGGTACTTACACTTAAACTTACCATTTACAGTGAGCACTCAAGGGAAGACAGGTGGACACTATATACAGGATTCTTAATACTTGGGTGTATGGGGAAAGTAATCTAAGGGACAACTAAAAAGTGACCACAATTAGAGGGTTGAAATTGACTGGTCTCCTGTAGTATGAGGGTCATACTGTGCTATCAACAATCTCTATTCAGAAAGTAGGTTCTCCTTAAGTTTTTTCTTTTTTATCATTACATGCACAGGTAAAGGAGGCTCACTTCAAAGCACATCCTGACTGGAAATGGTGCAACAAGGAGAGGAAGAAGTCCAGCAGCAGTACAGGCAGCGGAGGGCGTCGCCAGGAGCAGGAGAGAAAACTGTCGGATGACTTGCCTTCATCACCATCAACAACTCAAGCACAAACATCTAGTGGTACAACTTGTCATTGTCTTTCTACAACCAGCATCAGGCTGCTATCCTTTCCTGTTTCTGTGTAGAATGTTTATCAAGTGACATTATCGCTGTGTCTGCCACCATTTTGGTGTTCCTGTTTGCATTTCAGTGAGTCATTATAAGCTCAAGAATTGTTAAAGTGCAAAACGCAAAATGTCAGACTCTGTATTCTTGAACCATGGATGACCCCTTGAAATGCAAATAGGGACACTAACATGATGGTCAGCCTGCTTCGTTTGAAAACCCTCTGTATCATTATATGTTGTTAATTTGTACCTACCTTGACCTTCTGTAAGACTAGGTGCTACCTTTTGTACAATTGTACCCCAAACAATCAGCACAACTGTCTCAGCAGTGTGATAATCAAGCATGTTGTTCATTTGCAGGAGAAACAGTAAAGACAGAAGCTGCTGTCCAGGTCACAGCTGTTCCTGCCTCTGCTGCCAAGTCCGAGGACCTACAGGCTGCACAGCAGAGCTCAAAGGACCACCCCGGCATAAACTATGTATGGTTACACTATGATATCCTGGGTTCTCAGCTATACAATCAAAGGGATATTATCTGCCAAAGTTTTGTTTGCAAATACAAATGGTGTTGGTGCTAGTGCCAGTTGCCCATAGAGGTACATACCACATGGATTTGGTAAGACATTAATCATGCAATTTGTATCTTTGTTATATTTTGTCTGAATAGTCTGATCCTTGCCTCCTCCCTCATGGCAGTGTCCAGCATAAGGAAACAAATTCAAAACCAAGCAAATATATGGAATAAACTAGAAAGGCCAATATTTGCTTTGGAGCAAATACAGCGATGGGTTCACCACATTTTACCACATGGCAGGGAAAGAATGAGAAACACAAGGGAAAACAATGATTTACATTGATATAACTATAATATGAAGTAACATACAACTAAAACAACAGTTGGATAGCTATTCCCTACTTTATTGGTTAGGATTTTTAATTGCATAATGCAAACTGTTGATTTTCAAAATAAATAAAAAAACGTTCATGCCCCGCATTCCAATGCTGGAGCAGAAAAGCTTGAAATACCTACCAAAACACTTGAATAAAGACATACTGTTAGTATGGAAATGCTCTGTGCAGGTGTTAATCAAGTTAAATCCCAACAGCCAATCAGCAAGAAATGCTCTGTGCAGGTGGAAATGCTCTGTGCAGGTGTTAATCAAGTTAAATCCCAACAGCCAATCAGCAAGAAGTATAGAGGAAAGCTGCATGCCTATTGGTTGATGCCCTGCATTCCATTGTGATGACTCATGCCCAGACGTGGTAAACACGGCACACTAACACAGTAATACATTTGCTATAACACAGCCAAAAAACTCAAATAAAACCATTCTAAAAGCCTGTATCACAAAAATTTAAAAAACGCCTAGGGGTATTTGCCCACTGTACCTCCATACCAAATTTCAGGACCTTAGGCCCTAAAATGAAGACGCTGAATCCATTTAAAAAATGGCAGGAGGAGGAGAAGGAGGAGAATAAACATCAGAAAAAGCAATATGGGTTCACCACCACTTCGTGGTGTGGTGAACCCATAAATAGATCCCACACTTTCTCCCCCAGGCTGGTAAAGGCGTGGTCATGTCTCAGGGGCCATTCTCAGGTCGCGGCCGGTCCAGACTGGAGAGTGAGGACACCATCAGCGATGACGAGCAGATGATGATCTGTGAGGAGGGAGATGACGACGTTTTAGGTGAGCTTTTTCTTCCTATTTTTTTTGGCCCACTCTGTCTTGTTATTTGATTTTTCAAAATACAACACAAAGGACAAAAGAAAAGTATGGCACATAGACAATGTTATTCTAAAGCCTTCTCAAGAATGTCTTGAACATCTGAAGTGTGCATACCTCAGAGATTACTGATTCTATTGTTTCTAACCACCATTTTTTTTATGTGGTGGTCTATTGTACCTGTGAGATCTATGAAAGTTGAAGCTACTTATTTCTCACTTGGTACCCACAGTTGACCCTCCAGGCCAGGATCCTGACATCGACCTAAAGTGTAAGGAGATGGTGACAGAGAGCGACAGCGGGAGCCAGTCCGAGGATGAGGTCATGATCGAGAACAAGATCTTCCCCCAGCAGCGCTTCTCCCCCGCCATGAAGCCTGCCCTTCCTGCTGACATCACCTTCCGTCCCAAACCTATCAAACTCAGACCGGAACCACAACAGGACACAACATACAAGTCAGCAGAATGGCAAGCAATACGGAAACACAAGGGCCCATTTCTGT